TTTTTTTTTCGGAAAATAAAAATGCTGAAATTTTCTCGATTTTGGTCCCAAATTCTACATATATAGGGACGGGGTTTACTTCGGGTAACATTACTATAAATATAAATGCAGGACTGTTGCAGATCCCTGCAAATGATTTTGGATCGTAATGACACACCACAAGAAGGAGAACAACATTTGTCTGCGCTTACAGCTGGCCCACGTGATCTTTGGGCGCGAATTCGCAGGGAGAAATTCGCTGATGGTATAATAGATTTTTATTCCCACATTTCAGTGCAAGTCCAATTTACGCTTTTTTTAGGAGTAAACAAGGAATCTCTTTCTTTCATAGAGAGTGCTCTCGAGATTATCGTACTAGATGATGGCGAGACAGGCTATGATGAGGTAAATCGTGTCTTCATATGTGCCTGCAGTAATCTACAGTAAAACAATCAAAGCAACAAATGCTCATAATTGCACAAAAAGTTCTAAAGATACTAGAATGACGATGATGCATTTTGGACCATGATTGTCTTATATCCGGGACTGTGGACAAATATCGCATATCACTAAATTTTTTTCGCAAAGTTTTTTGAAAATCACGAAATTTGCTAATTATATGGTCCACAGTTGCAGCCGTTATTATTATTCGTAGGTGTTTCTATTTCTGACGAATTTATTCAATATGAGTTATTTTGAAAAGACAAAACTTATGCGCTTTGTATTAATACATAAAGCTAGAATTTTCGTTGGCAAGAGAAAATAAGACAACCAAGAAAATAAAAATAAAAAATTTCAATCAGGAAAAACCGTTTAGATTGTAATTTTTGGATTTTTGGCTGTAGAAATGCTAAAAGATTCAAGAAAGTCGATTTCTTTGACTGTGTTGTATAACCTACTCTTTTTGACTGATTGACTGACGGAGATAGTGACTGCGCTTTTCCACTAATAGTAGTATTTTTCAACTTTTTGCAAATTAATATTTCTATTTTCTTCTGAGTATTTAGTGTCTGTAAATAGACGTTATGTTGCACGTTAAAAAATAAACTCGAGGCTGTCTTCAAATGATTCACATGAATTTTTAGCGTTTTCTGATGCAAGGTTTTTAGCATTTCCT